TACTCTGTCCATGGGGATTCTCCAGGCAAGAATACTGGAATGGGTTGCCATTCCCTTCTCTAGGGGATCTTTCCAACCCAGGGATCAAACCCAGGTCTCCTGCATTGCAGAGAGATTCTTTACCATCTGAGCCACCAGGGAAGCTGTGGCTGGGAGTAGTGAATATACAAAAGAGGAAAGCAGTAGTAGGAGATTAAGTTAAAAAGATAGATATTCATGACTTGCTAAGTTTGGTCTTGGTATTAGAATTAGGAATCAGTGAAGACTTCTAAGAAGGAGAAAACAGGATTGCATTTGTATGGTTTTAGAGAAATGACCCTTCCAATGAAAGTGGTGAATTGGATCAATGGTCTTGAAGTTCCAGGCAAGACACCCAGTTATAAGGTTACAGCCAAGTCCAAGTGAAAAGTGATGAGGGTCTGCATATAGGTGAAGGGCAGTGAACCTAGTCAAGAAACAACAGACTTACAAGACACTAAGAACATGAAATCAGCAGGATATGGTGTCTGTGGGTAATGAGGATGACTTCAAGTTTCTGACTTAAATAGCAGGATGTATGGTTGGTCTGTCGATCAAACTAGGGGATACTAGATGTTCAGTGGGGCAGGGAAGGGTGAATAATAAATGAGCTCTTTTGACTCAGTTTAATCTAAATTGCTTGTAGGACTTCTAAGTAGAGTTCTCCAGTTAGCCTTTGTATATGCTGATCCAAGACTTAGAAGAGAGGGCAGCCCTGAAAATATTAATTTGGGAGTCCCCAGAACACTCGTGGGTTGGGTCTGGCAAGAAGATGAGATTGCCCAAGTGGCACAAGCAGAATGCTATGGAATCTAATTAAAGTAGGGAAAGAGGAAAAGAGCCCTTGGTTTGGCTGAGAATGAACTTAGGAGGCATAATGATGTGGATTCCAAAGGAGTATTATTTTTAAAAAGGAATAGTCAATATCAGATGTGTCCCAATAATCATAGTGTAAGGTAGAACATGCCCATGGGTTGGAAAACAGTTCCAGGGGAACAGTAGTTATAGAACCCTGATTTCAGTTGATTTAATACTGAATTTTGACTTTGCTTAGAAGTGTGGAGTGGGTATATTTAGGAAACCCCTTTCCTACTCCAACACATAGAAAGTCCAGATAAAAATATATGACTTAAAAAATATATTTTAAATATGTATCCAAATTCAAAAGAAAGAATTCTCCACATGCCTCAAATGAAAGAGAAACTAAAAGCTGTCACAACAAGCAAATGTTGCAGTTGGTAATCCCACCAGTGTATGAGGACCACATCTAGAGGTAGTCTTTGTCTGTTTGGTCTGCTGTAATAAAATACCACAGACGTGGTGTCTTATAAACAACAGAAATGTATTTCTCACAGTCCAGGAGGCTGTAGTTTAAGATCAAAGTGCTGGAAGCGTCAGGGGAGGCTCTCTTCTGGGTTGCAGCCTGTTTATTGTATTACCACCTGGAGGAAGGGGCTACCGAACTCTCTGGGATATCTTTCGTAAGCCACTAATCCCATTTATGAGGGCTGCACCCTCATGACCTAATCACTTCCTAAAAGCCTTGTCTCCTAATACTGTGACAGTGGTAGTAGGATTTCAACGTGTGAATTCCAGGGGGACACAAACATTCAGATCATAGCAGAGGTGAAAACCCAATAGGGGCTAGCATATTAACACCTACATGGCCTGGAAGTTTATCTATGCAGAAGTTATACATGGGGTATTTCCACCCATAAATGAGACTAGGAAAACTCTGTGCTTGGGAATAAGCCACCCTACTCCCAGGAGAAAAGTTCAGTTCAGTTGCTCAGTCATGTCTGACTCTTTGCGACCCCTTGGATTGTAGCACGCCAGACTTCCTCAGTTCAGTTCAGTCGCTCAGTTGTATCTGACTCTGCGACCCCATGGACTGCAGCACGCCAGACCTCCTTGTCCATCACCAACTCGTGGAGCTTGCTCAGACTCATGTCCATCGAGCCAGTGATACCATCCAACCATCTCACCCTCTGTTGTCCCCTTCTCCTCCTGCCTTCAGTCTTTCCCAGCATCAGGGTCTTTTCCAATAAGTCAGTTCTTTGCATCAGGTGGCCAAAGCATTGGAACTTCAGCTTCAACATCAGTTCTTCCAATGAATATTCAGGACTGATTTCCTTTAGGATTGACTGGTTTGATCTCCTTTCAGTCCAAGGGAAAAAGTGGCCTCTAAAAGAAATCAGAATCCTACACATGTGACCTGTGCAAGTAAGGACCTCAATTTGTACCACTCATGTAGGGAGAGAAAGTTGTAAGCCGGAGTAAGGAAGGAAAAAAAAAACTTAAAAACTTATTTGAAAGTAGTGAAACTTACAATATCCAGGAGAGGCGAACACAGCTCATCTAATAGTGACATCTCCAAAGCACAGGGCAAAATGTGGGATTCGTGCAAAGGTCAAGTCCCTGTGAGGTAGAACTTGCAGACCTGAATAGCAAACCACTGTCATGAATAAAGGAGGAAAATGCAACTAATAGGACATTTGACATCCAAAGTGAAAGGGTCAGTGGCTCAGTCGTGACCAACTCTTTGAGACCCCGTGGACAGTAGCCAGCCAGGCTCCTCCATCCATGGGATTCTCCAGACAAGAATACTGGAATAGGTTGCCATTTCCTTCTCCAGGGGATCTTCCTGACCGAGAGATCAAACCCAGGTCTCCCACATTGCAGGCAGATTACTTACCATCTGAGTCACCAGAGAAATCCCAAAGAACTTTCCAAAAATACAGGGCTATACAAGAAGAACTTTAAAATCTCTGCTTAAAAATGATTCAGAGAAATAAAGGAAGGATAGAATCCACAATACAGGTACAGAACATTTTAGAGGAAAGAAGCCAGTGGATTTGTAAAAGAGCTAAATAGAAAATCTAGAAGTAAAAATTGTTGAAAAAGTTGCAAGAAGTTGGCAAGCCACAGGTTTGTTCTGCAAAAGGCCGATTAATGAAATTTTAAGAAAAAAGGTTCTTTTTTCAATAAATGGTTTATTTTAGGGAAAAAAAAAAAAAGTTGCAAGAAGGAACAGATGGGTTAAACCATAGAGTAGATCCTATAGGGAGACTTCAGGAATTGAAAAGGTAAATGAGAGGTGAGAGAATGAAGTGACTGGGTGAAGGCCACATTCATTTGATAACTGTGTATGTGGAGGGAGAGAAGTATTCTTAGGTAGAAATACTACATCAGGAAAGAGATTCAGTTATTCATTCATTTAAAAAATATAACATAGGGGATTGAGGAATATATTGAGAGAGATCCCAGGTATGCAGGAAAGGGGGGGTCATTGGAAGGAGGGGCAAAGAAAGGAGCCCCAGGAGCCTAGATGGAGGAATTATTGCAAATCAGTGGGGATGAAACAGATTTGAAGATATTTTTATGGAGGATAAGAGGTGAGCTGTTTGAAAGTATATCCTTCAGTCCCCTCCTTTCTTTGACAGATGGGAAGAATGTGGGGGTCAAGCAATGTGGAGATAGAAGACAAAGGTTTAAAAGATAGCCATAGAGGGAAGGAGAGAGGAAATTGATCAGAGACAGGTAAAAACAATGCCAAAGAATGTTGAGGATTCTTCTGACATGCAGTAGCATAGATTTGTATTCGGTAAGACTGAATACAGCACCCCATGTATAAAAGTATAAAGTTATCTTGTGGGATCAATCCATGTAGATTGCAGGAAGATACATGAAACTAACAAAGAAAAAAACAAACAAAAGATACCAGTCAGAGTAATTTGAGAGGTCTCAAGGAAGAAGATTCTGTAATCTAAGTTTTGTATCACTGACCACAGTTACTGTTAGAAGCCTTTCGCTTGTGGTGAGTGAGAAGAATTCTAGAAATCGACTATGGTTCTCTTATTTATTCTAGTTTATTTTCAGAGAACCAGGGCAGTGTTGCTCCCTGCAACATAGAATTTTGTTACCTCAAGTTAGGTTGTCATGAGTCAAGGTTTTTAGGTGTCAGCAACTTCTGTCTATGTACATTGTCTGTTGGGTAAAGGAGGTTTTGTCATACATCCAAGCATATACACTATGTATGTATTGTATTTAGAAGGACATCATGTTCTTCAGTATAACCATTATACCAACATAAATTCCTGCCTGTGATGGAGAGAACTTCTCAGCTTCAGAGGGCTCGCCAGCTAATTAGCAGTCCTTTCATAAATAAATGCCATTCTGTCACCTAGAATTGCTGAGGAGGATTTCTAGACCATTGAAATTAGTTACAGTGACAGAAATGTTGAACGGAAAGGGAAGCTTTTTAATTAAGTTGGAACTGAGTGTTCACGATGACTTTCCAGGTGTGTTTTGGTAAGAGCAGTGTTAGTAGCTCACCCATGGGCCCTATTAAAGGACTTGAAGTCTGTCACTCCAGGTCACTTGTCAGAGCCCACTGCAGAGAACAGTAATCAAAGACTTTTTCTACCTGACATCAAGAGCAGAAGGTTTCTCTCTGATGGTGGATTTGCTTTCAATAGAGGGGTGTCCATGGTTCAAAAAACACCTTCAAGTAGCACTAACTGGTAGTTCAAAGCAAGAGGTCAGAGAACAACCCTTTGTAACACTTCCATCACCTTTCAGATATCATTTATGTTGTTGTTTAATTGCACTGTCTTTATGGTTAACCCATTTTTTGTTTGTTCAACATCTTTCTTGAAAGAATCCCTTCCCACCCCCCCCCACCCCCAAAAGACCTACCATACACTTTTATTTATCCTCAGGGATTAACTAGGATAAGGGGAGCTAATTAATATTATTAGTTTCACAATTACTCAACAATGAAGAAACTAAGAATGGAATCTAGAAATGATGTTTCCCACAAAGGTGACCTATTAGTGGATGTCATGCCTCCAGCTGGATAATGGGTTAGGTTAATAAGAGAGATGAGCACGGCATCTTTTTCCAGCAACAAAGGTAGATGGAAAATGCTGATGAGGCCAGGCAGTGTCCTGAAGTGTCTCTTTTCTGTTGGTTGTGTTCAGGGGTATCGTCCAGTCCGAGGAAAAACTTGTCATCAGTGCATCTTGGGCAAAAGATGATGATATCAGCAGGCTCTTGAAATCTCTACCAAACTGGATGAATATGGCTCAACCCAAACAGCTGAGGTCAAAGAGAGAAGAGGAAGAAGATTTCATAAGGTAAAAACACTTAAAAAGGCCTTGCCCTTGTACGTATATGTTATATGTTGCAGTTGTTCTTAACATGCTCTCTAGTTCATAGAACTTAGGTGAGCCTTGTGGAAATGCAGATGTGCTTCCCACATTTGTGCATATACAGTGCTTTATTTCCAATTGTTTCCTACATGTTTTGACAAAAATGAAGTTTCTCAACTTTATCACGCAATATTTACCTTTGTACAATTTAAGTTATTTCTTTATCAGTGAGAACGTGGCCTAATCTGTTGATGCTCTTGAATTTCATGTGGCTGGCCTGGCACAGTGAAATATTTTCACCTCTGTCATTTTAGAGCTGTGTAAATTGGTAGACAGGTAGGGGAGAAGTGGAAGTAATATTTTGTCACATTAAAATTAGGTTTATTCTTATTGTCTTTTTGCCTATCCAAGTGAGTGAATAAATATTAATAAAATAAAGTAAAAGCACTTTAAAGAAGCAAAGACCAGAAAAGGAATAAAAGAAGTAGTGGCCAGTATTTTACTTTTAATTCATCACAGAGCTGTGAGCTCGTCTCCTTCTCAGAACGTGGGCTGCAACTGTAGATAAATAGGCCTTTACTGTTCACAAAGTTAACTGTATTTGTATACTGTGGTGCCATATCTTTACTATTTTATTATGAAAAATTGCTATAGTGCCATTTAAAACTTCCTCGAAATCATGAGACTCAAAAGTTCATCCATAATTTAACATAATGCCTCTTGATGAAGGTGAAAGAGGAGAGTGAAAAAGCTGACTTAAAATTCAGCATTCAGAAAACTAAGATCATGGCATCGAGTCTTATCACTTCGTGGCAAAGGGATGAGGAAAATGTGGAAACAGTGTCAGATTTCATTTTCTGGGGCTCCAAAATCAATGCGCATGGTGACTGCAGCCAAGAAATTAAAAGATGCTTGCTCTTTGGAGGAATAGCTATAACAAAGCTAGACAGTATTAAAAAGCAGAGTCATCACTTTGCCAACAAAAGTTCTTATAGTCAGGTCTGGTGTGTTACAGTTCATGGGGCTGCAAAGAGTTGGACACAACTTAGCGACTGAACAACAACAACAATTTATGTTTTCTTCCTTATATTTCACATTATCTCAGAAAAACTTGTCAGCTAGTTACATTGGTATAAGAAAACATATATATATATATAAGAAAATACACATATATATGAATATATATGTAAGTTTTTTTAATTAATAGATTTTTATTTGTATAAGGGAGAAGTTTTAGGTTTGTTAAAAATATTGAGTGGAAGATGCACAGTTCCCATGTGACCCCTCACCCACCCTTACCCCCAGATTCCTCTACTTTTAATACCTTGCAGCAATGAGGTACATTTGTTAAAACTGGTAAGCTGATACCGACCGACATTATTATCAGCTGAAGTCTGTAGTTCACATTGGGGTTCACTCTTTGTCTTGTACATTTTATGAGTTTTGAGAAATGTCTAGTGATTGTGTCTATTCACTGGTTAAAGTAAATGTAACCATTTCAGTATCACTAAGAATAATAGTTTCTCTGCCCTAAAAATCCTCTATGCTCTTCCTGTTCATCCAGCCCTTCTCTCCTCCAACCCCTGGCAACCCCTCTTTTCTCTTCTGTCTCTGTAGTTTTGCTTTTTCCAGAATGTCATGTAGTTGGAATCACACAGTATGTAGCCTTTTCATATTCGCTTCTTTTGCTTAGCCCTATGCACTTAAGGTTCTTCTCTGTCATTTTGTGGCTTGATAGCTCTTTTTTTTTTATTTGAGATGTCTGAATAACATTTCATTGTATGGACATACCAGAATTTGTTTTTCTGTTCACCTACTGTTAGATGTCTTGATTGCTTCCAAGTTTTGGCAGTTATCCATAAAGCTGCTGTAAACTTTCATGTGTAGGTTTCTTTGTGGATGTAAGTTTTCAGCTCATTTGGGTAAATACCGAAGAATATGGCTGTTAGATTGTATGACAAGAGTATGTTTAGTTTTGTAAGAAATTGCCAAACTGCTCCAAAGTGGCAGTCCCATTCTACATTCCCACCAACAGGGAATGGGGGTTCCCGCTGTTCCATATCCTTGCTAGCATGTGGTGGTATCAGTGTTTCAGATTTGGTACATTCTTACTAGTGTCTGGTGATCTCATCATTTTCATTTGTATTTTCCTAATGACATATGTCAGACTTCTCTAGTGGCTCAGACAGTAAAGCATCTGCCTACAATGTGGGAGACCCAGGTTCAAACCGTGGGTCGGGAAGATCCCCTGGAGAAGGAAATGGTAACCCACTCCAGTATTCTTGCCTGGAAGATCCCATGGATGGAGGAGCCTGGTAGGCTACGGTCCATGGGGTCGCGAAGAGTCGGATATGACTGAGCCACTTCACTTTCTTTTCTTTCTTTAATGACATATGACGTTTAGCATCATCTCATTTTTTATTTAATAAATAAGAATTTATTAAAGCAGTGACTGCTGCTTAGTCACTTCAGTCATGTCTGACTCTGTGCGACCCTATGGACTGTAGCCCGCCAGGCTCCTCTGTCCTTGGGATTCTCCAGGCAGGAATACTAGGGTGGGTTGCCATGCCCTCCTCCAGGGGATCTTCCCAACCGAGGGATCGAACCAAAGTCTCCTGCACTGCAGTCAGATTTCTTACCACTGAACCACCAGGGAAGCCTATATATGTGTGTGTGTACACATACATATGTATGTATATACGTGTGTGTGTGTGTGTATATATATACATATGTAGAGAGAGAGAAAGTAAGATATCTGTTCAGATGTTTTCCCATTTTTCAATTAGGTTGTGTATTTTCTTACTGTTGAGCTTTAAAAGTCCTTTGTATCTTTTGGATACCACTTCTTTAGTTGACAGGTGTTTACAAAGGCTTTCAGTCTATGCCTTGTCTTTCCATTCTCTTCACAGAGCCTTTCATAGAACAGAAGTTTTTAATTTTAACAAAATCAAACTTAATGATTTTTTTAAAATGGACTGCAGGTCAAGAAACAGAATAACAGCAACAAGAAACAGGATGAAATGATAGTGAGCCTTATAGTTCCTCCTGGTCACTAGTCACCTCTTCAAAAGTTACCTGTATCTTACCTTTAAGTACCTAGATTAGTTTAATCTGTTTGGGGACTTTTATTTTTAATGGAATCGTGCAGTTATATATTTTATGACTGGTTCCATTTGTGCCACATTATATTGACAAGATTCATCCATATTCTTGTGTATAGTTCCTTTTTCCTCTGTACTCTCTATCATATTTCATTATGTGCAGCCCATGGGGTCGCAAAGAGTCAGACATGACTTAGCAGCTGAACAACAATGAATGTGAATACGCCACAAGTATTTTTTTAATGTTTTATCGTTTGAATGTGTATGTGTGTATATATGCACTCATTTATTTTACTCCTGTGAGGTACACCTGGGCAGTTTCTAATTTGAAACTGTTACAAATAGTACTCTTTGTATATTCTACTCTACCTCTCTTGGTAATCATATGTATATGTTTCTGTTGCTTATATTGTAGGATTCAAATTGCTGGTCATAGCATATGCATATGTTCAATTGTAGTGCACACCGCCAAATATTTTCCCAAAGTGGTAGTAAGAGCTTGCCCTCTCAATCAACTTTTTTTTTACTTTTTTTTTTTTACTGTAATTGCTTTACAATGCTACGTTAATTTCTGCTGTACAGCAAAGTGAATCAGCTGTATGTATACATATATCCCCTCCCTCTGAAGCCTCTTTCCCCCCCAATCAGTTTTATTCATTGTCTTCAAAAGCTTAGAGTTAAAGGGAAGGGCTCCTAGCCCTATTTAGAAATAGAGAATGCTAATCAAGAGATGAGCCTCCGTATACCACCTCATATGTCTGATTTAAAAGAACTAGAATTTAGTTCTTGGCTTTGTTCTTTTCTGTATGTGATTTGAATTGTTACATTCCATCTTAAATTTGAAGGCAAAACAAATCATACATATTTTTAAAATTTTTTGTGAATTATTATATCCATTAAGTAAGATGTTCATCTTAGGTGTATAACTCAGTGAAATGTTACATGTTATTTAACTCATGTAACCACCTCCCAGGTCAAAATAGGAAAACTTTTCTTGTACCCAGAAGGTTACCTCAAGGTAACCACTGTTCTGACTTTCATCACTGTTGTTGCCTGTGCTTGAATTTTATATAAATTTTTCCATATTACCTGGTTTATTTTGCTGAATGAGATGCCTTGGATATTTGTTCATGTTTTTGCATGCAAATAGACATGGGTTGAAAACACATTCTGTTTGCTTTAACAGAAGAAAAATAATCTTTTATGTCTATTTTGCTTTGTATGTGATTGATTCTTGTCTCTTAATCTATCACATTCTCTATCCTGAAACCAAAGGTAAGTGGAGGGGACATTCTTCATTGATATTCCAATGTGGTAGAGTTGACAGAGCCTTGATTTAGCACGTTAGAGTACCGCAGGAGCATGGCATGAGCCAGAAAGACTGAAAAATCACACTCTCCTCCTGTAATTAGTTTTTAAAGCTTAGAGGGCTCTTTGGCGCCTGGATAAATATAGACTCTGGTGCCCTTTGCATTGAATAAAGGTTATGTTCCCTTCATTACTAAATGAGGCCCTTTTCTATTCTCATTCTTTAACTAAAAAAAAATAAAATGTATTATTTCCTGGCTTAACTTTGAATAAAGGGGGAAAAATAGGTCAGGCCAGGGCCTTAACAGAAAAACGAAATATAGCAAATACCCTTTTGTTCCCAAAGTAGCTGAAAGCAGGCTTTCTAGCCCATTGTCTTTGTGCCTGTCTTATATATGTATATGGTTATCCTTTTGATATCCGTGGATAGCCACTGATAAAAGCAGTCCTGCTTTCTGGAAATGTAATTAACAGAAGAGATGAGGTGTTGGAAGAAGTAAAGGGATGGGGAGGCCCTATGTATTAGAGACTATCCCCCATAATCTGTTACACCCATTTCACTCAGGGCCCCATAAC